TTTTATTAATTTTTATGCAATAGTTTTTGAGTAATGAATAAATAAAAAATTCCAAAAAGTTTTGCAACACACTGTATATGAGTTCTTATTAAAGTGAATTGTTTTTTATTGTTTGAGGAATTTTGATATTGGGAAGGTTTTTTGTTTGGTTCTTAGGGAGGAGTTGGATATAAGGTTTATGGGATGCTGTGGTCTATCTGCTTCTGTATTTGGGTTTGACCAGAACTTAATAGCAGGTTTTCTGGATTCAATCTTGATATTCTTTAGAAGTGGTTGGAGCCTGTTATAGCTCTATTTATAGTTAGATAACTCTTTTCCAGATTTGCTAACCTGGTGTTAAAATAGCTGAATTGTTCTGCTATCTGTGAGAGTGAGTCAAGTGGTGATCTGGTTGGGTTGAATCTCGTGCTGGATTTGTTACCTCTTTTTTTCTTGGTGTATTTTTCCTTCTTGAGGTTGTATATAAATCTTATTATAAAAAAATCAATAAATTTTATTTTTTAATTAATAAAAGAATTAACAAAAAAAATTTCATTAATATTTTTTTTAAATGCTAAGTAAGGTCTTCCTCAAAGCTTTATTAATTATACGTAGTAAATATAATACATTATATACAAAATTAATAAAGTATGAAGTATATGATAATACATATTGACCTGCCACTGTGAGCAGATATATTATTGGAAAAACTTAGAAAGAAAAACCTGAGAAACTATCTGCTACGAAAAAATAAAAAATAAAAAAAAACATTTCGGACAAGATCGCCAATTGTAAAAAAGAGTGATAGAAGTTTAATTTTAGGAGAAGAGATATTGATAATGTATAATATGGACTATATACTACTTAGTTATAAGTAAAAGATATAGTTAGTAATTTATGAAGAGTAGAAAGTTATAGTGGTGATGTGTTTAGGGTTTAGGAGTATATTATATTTAAATCAATAATCCTTCTTACAAGGCACAAACCAAATGTGTCTACCTAAGTTATCACTTTCTTTTCGATAGCTGGGCACGACTCCAGCAGCAGTAGAGGAGTACTGGCTTAAGCTGCCAAATTACAGGGCGAAACTTCCTGGTATCTCACTTCTACTCGCAATAAAAGTATTATACTTTTACTCACATTGATTAGGCTTTGGCTGCCTTTTTTCTTTAATGGTAGCATTGCTACTCGTGGGTTGCAACTCCATTGTTGAGATAATAAAAAGTCATGTAGTTGGTAAAAGAGTGTTGTGATTGAGATATAAGTAGGTCAGATAATTGGAGCCTGCTTCAATTGCTTGTTTTGTTGTTTGGATACATATAAAGTAAAGATTACCAGAACTCGCGCAGGGCACAGGTCATGCGCTTTCTCAATCTGGTAAGTTATCAGATCATTTTTGTTGTCAATATTGTTGTATTGTTGTGATTGGTATTGTTATTGAGTGTGGGAATTTTTGTTAGAAGAAGACTGGTTGTAAACGAGTTTGAACAAGTTTGGTGTTGTTATTAAGGATAGAGAAATTTTATTGATCATTTGTAGAGTGTAGATTTTTGGATAGGGTGAAACTGATTTTGGTTTTTGAGTAGATTTGAAAAGTGTGTAGAAAAGTATAGGAATATGACATAGTATTGATATTTATGTAAAGAAGAAAAAATAAAAAAAAATTTGCAAAGGTTGATTAAGACAAACATTAGATCTAGTAACTATGTTTGAATGTGTTGTTAAGATTGAATTTGTGTTGTAGAGAAAAAAAGGTGAAGGAAAAAGTGATTATCATGATTATAAAGGGGAAGGTACCTAAAGACAAAAAATTATGAAGAAAGGCTGCCACAGGTCTTTTCCTATGCAACCAAGAGCTAAGGAAGACTTCCAACTTGCTTAGGTCTTGACTAGAGGTCCCATTCCAATACAACAGTGTTCCTTAAAGTCATTATGTCCTTTAGATTTAAAGCTTATTGCCTTAGGGAATAAAGAAATGGAGATGCTTCTTGGAAGAAGATTTCCTAAAAAGGAAATTTTCAAAAAATCAGTGGTGAACGGGTAAAGGTTTTTTTTTTAATTTTTTAATCTTAAATTTTATTATATTTTTATAAAATATAAAAAGTTTATTAATTTTAATTTAATTTATAAATTATAATAAAAGTATTGGTTTGGATTTAAAACAAATTTAATTTAATTTATTATTTATTAATTTAATTTATTAAATAATACAATACAATGTAACTTGGTATTTTTTTTTTCTGTTAAGGTGAGACATGTCTCATAATCTTTATTAATATATAATTATTATTATTATATGGTTAATTTTTAAGATATGAGATATATAGACAAAGTAAAACTATGTACATATTAGTTTACCATCTATTATAATATATATATTTCTAATAAAAAACCCTTGAGCAGGAAAAAAGTTAAGAAAGGAACTATTTACATATAAGAACAAAATAAATTATCTATATAAAAATTTGAGGAGCAAGATTACTATAGTATATGTAAAGGAATGTAGAGATATTGAAAGTTAAAGGTTGGTAGTTTTTAATATAAAATTGCTATATATATTAATTTGAAGTTAGGGTTAATCACTTCTTGAAAACCACATATAATTAAGGAATTAGAAATAAAAATTATTGAAGTGGTGATAGTGAGTATTGAGTTTTGAATGCAATTATCTTTTATATTAACAATCCCTCTTGTAGGATATAAATCAAATGTGTCTATCTAGGTTATTGTTTCTTTTTTAATAGCTGGACATGACTCTAGCAACTGTAGAGAAACACTGGCTTAAGCTGCCAGATTATGGGATACAACTTTCTGATATTTCACTTTCACTTGCAATAAAAATATTTACTTTTATCCATATCGGTTAGACTTAGGCTATCTTTTTTCTTTAATGGTAGCATTGCTATTTGTGGATTGCAACTTCATTGTTAATGATAATTGTGGAAAGTTGTGTGGTTTGTAGGTTGGTGGTGTAGTTAAGATAATAGTAAGTTGGATATGGAGTCTACTCCAATCTTGTTGTGTTATTTTGATGCTTTTTTAGTTAAAGATTACTGAAACCTATGCAAGGTACAGTCATGTGCTCTCCCAATCCAGTATATGTCAATCAATTGTGATTGTATGTGAGTATTTTTATAAAGAAATTGTTATTTGATGTGGGAATTTTTGATAAAAAACTGATTATAAATGAGTTTAAATAGGTTTAGTATTGTTGTTAAGAAGTGAAGATGTTTATTGGTCATTTGTTGAGTCTAGATCTTTGGATGGAGTAAAACTGATTACAGTTTTTTGAGTAGATTTGAAAAAATTATAAAATAGTGAAGAAGTAATACATGATATTATTTTAATATAGAGAAGAGAAATAATAAATTTTCAAAGGTTGTGTTAAGACAAATATTAGATCTAGTAACTTTGTTTGAATATATTGTTAGAATTGAATTTGTATTATAGAGAATGAAAAGTGAAAGAAAAAATGGTTATTATGATTATAAAAAGAAAAATACCTAAAGACAAAAAATTATGAAAGAAGGTTGTTACGAGTCTTTTCCTATGCAACCAAGAGCTAAGAAAGACTTCCAACTTGCTTAGGTTTTGACCAGAGATTTCATTCCAATGCAACAGTGTTTCTTGAAGTCTTTATATCCTTTGGGTTTAAATCTTATTTGCCTTAAAAAATAAAAAAAGAAAAGTGCTTCTTGGAAGAAGATTTCCTAAAAAGAAAATTTTCAAAAAATCAGCAGTGAATGGGTGAAAGTTTTTTTTTTAATATAACTTGGTATTTATTTAATACAATATATTAAACTTATTAATTTAACAAATGTTAAATTTTTATTTTAGATTTAAAAATAATAAATTATTAAATCATAATAAATCAAAATTTATTTAGTTAATAATATTGTATAAATACATAATTCTTATTTATAATGTTTATAAAATTTTATACAATTTTTATATCTAGAATTTTAATTGGAATAATATATTGTATATAGTAATATAAATTAGATTAACCAATAATATATAAGAATTAAAATAGTTATAAAATATGAGATAACTTATTTTTTAAATTCAAAAAACAAGTAAAATAGTTAAAATTATAAAATAAAGATTTTTTGCTTAATTAAAAAACTTATCTTATCAAGTAATCTTAAGTAAAATATTTATGAATTTTTTATTTCAATGCTCTCATGATTATATCAGTTTTCAGGCATTTAATTTAATAATAATTTTGTTTTAAAATGTTATATATTAGCATTAAGCATTTGTTGAAGCTATAAATAAATAGTAATGCGTATGCTTCGAACATTTCAACAGATTCTGTTACCTAGTTTTATGTTAAAAATTATATATATATATTTATTTAAATAACTATTTACAAATATAATAATAATATTGTTAATTTGTTGCAATTTACATCGCTAAAGAAATTTTTTCGAACTTAATATTTTATAAAAAAAATATATCATATTATATGCTATTTTGATGATATAAGTTGATTCAATATTTAAAAATTATTAAACGAATTAAAGAAATACAATATAGATTTATTATGTTTAAAGGCATGCAATACTATATTTTAATACAATGAACATTAATTTAAGGTGCGTTATGAATTTATTTTTTTTCATAATATCATAGGTATTGAATTACTGGGTTAAATTATACAAACATATTTATTATAGATGAAAATGTAATTAGTTTATTCATTTATTACTATTATTGTTATTATTTACAAATGGTAATAGTTCAAAGGTCATCACTAACTAGAATCTTTATTGATGCTCACACAAAACTGCAATAAGCGAACATCTATCTTTATGCATTCTTTGAAGAATATCAAATACTTATTATCAGTGATTCCACATACAAAAATTTTTGTGCGAATATGTCGATTTTAATTTGCAAAATATTTACCACATTTAAAAATACTGTACATTTAAAAAATATATAAAATAAAAATAAATAAGCGCTCATAAGGCCATCTCGATCTACGAGTGTAACGAGCGACACAAATTTTCCAGTCTCCTTCCAATTATTTTTTTTTTATTGTCACGCTATCAAATACCGAAACATTTCAACCCTCAATAGTATCTGATGATACTGGTTTGATGAAGAGCCAACCATATTTCCCGTTGATTTGTTCTCCATTATCGTTACATTTACTATATATTTGTATTGTTTGGGGCCTAGATCTGATTTAAAGGTTAAATACAAAATCCAAATTACAATAAATTTATTTTTAATAGAATATACACAGAAAAACCAATGCACACTAATCATGCATACACAATGTGTCATCATGATAGTAGGATTAAAAATATACACTACCTGTTAATCTCTGTTTAACTTCCTGAGCGATCTCAAATGCCCAACCCGAAGCTTGATCTTTATCAAATAAATCATTGATATTCAACCTTTGATAAACTACTGAATGAAATATTTGTTTCGCTGATGCTGATCTGTGTGTAAGAGGAAATTTGGTTAGAATAAAAACGAAATTCCAATTACAACTGAAGGCTTACTTTTGGTTAACAAAACTTTTTGTTGAAAAAAATTCATTGCTGGAGTCCTCAGAATAAACGAAATCGCGTTGACGTTCAAGAACCACTCCACGTTTTAAAGTTTCATCAAGCAATAAATCTGTACTCTCTCCCGTTCCTCGATTATTCAGAAAATGCAAATTGTGATCATATAGGGTACCATTGTTATTGTTAAATATCATTGTGGATGGCATCTTGATCGGTAAATTTCGATAATAATAGAAGTACAGTAATACCGTGCAACAGTTTTTATAAAGGTATAATGATGAGTTATAAATTAGTTGTTTATTCCACCAATATGTAAGAATGTTCAGAAGGAAATGAATAAAGTAAATCGTAAATCGGGCGTTATTTATATAAAATGCACTATCGCATACCTAAACCTTATTTAAATCGCAATGGGTATATAAAATAGAAAATCGAATTATTATCTAGTATTTTATTAAAAAAGTTTTAACTTTTTAATGAAAATCAGGATGTATACTGTATGTTGATTTAAAATACTTCAAACAAATACAACGCAATTAACTGACCGATACACAAAAAAAAAAGTTGGTTTCTCTCTCTTTTTTCAATGAACATATTTACACGTGCGTACATACGTATGTATCATTACCAACTGAAAAAAAGTTGATTCTCCTCACATTCATTTGTTCAATTTTCGGAAATTTTTTTCCTTGGTAGTATCTTTCTTCCATCGCGCGTCAAGATCACATGAACATCCTACGAAAAGTTGCAAATATGCATTGGAATAGAGTGGATTTTTTTTTTTTCGTATACCAGAGAGTCCTTCTTGACAAAGCGATTTTGTCATTCTTTGTTAACCTCTTCGCCAATTACTTTTTACATGTATATTAAATATATTCTCTATTGTATTCTCTTCTCTTTTTTTTTTTTTTACATGGGAGCTCTTCGATCAACCCATTTTTGGGAGCGAATTGCATGTATTTTATACAGGTTTTTATGATTTCTCTGATATTGCACGGGAATTAATGGATGATGGAAGTCATTGTAGTCAGAAAAGGAAGAATTAAATAAAAAAACCGTCATATTAATATGTTTATATGAAGAACTTGTTCCAATCATTAGTTTGTTTGGATTTTGTGTTGGAGATTGATTGTATGCATGCATGCATCACAACAATAGCGAGTCACGCGAGCTATTGATGATAAATATTAGATTTTTAAATCAGGGCTCATTTAAAATCTGTGATAAAACAAGAATTTTTTTTTGACGTAGTTGAGAGACTACACGTAAGTCATACGTTAATGAAAACTTATCGTACAAATTCATCCACTGTTATCTGTAATCAGATGCTATTTACTACAATCATTGTTCGTTGTTGGTCATAATCTTCGTAACACCATTACACATTTTTCCTCGAAAGTCAACATTGTTTTTAGAGAACAATAGCATATAAAAGAGCCATCCCAAATTTCTTGGTCTTTCTACCGAAATTATTTAGGTTTATAAAGCAAAAAGGTTAAATGCGTTTTGGAAAAACAAAGAACTCGTATATTAACTCTGGACCGTTGGAGAATCTAGATACAGTAGCCGTTATAAAAAACGTACCACTTACAGTAGTTTAAAAACAAAGTGATTATGTTTTACATAATTTCATATTCAATAGTTAATAAGTTACTTAATTTCAAATAAAAGTTATTTATTTAATAATAAATTTGTAAAAAAAAGATTAATTTTATAATTCAGATAAAGCAAATTTTTTGGTATTTTTTTAAATAAATTTATTAGCAAATACAATATATACTGTATATTAATTTATTAAAAATTCAAAAAGCTTTTATAATTATTTGCTACAAATCAATATACTGTAACTCCTTTTTTCTAGCTACAATAACATTTTTAACTTTATATAACATGGTTTCAATTAATTTTTTTACTGAAACTTTACTTTAATTAAATTTTATATATTATTAACTGATTTTACAATTGGTTTGCATTATTAATTCCTAAATTATATATCTATATTTTATTTTATGTTAAATATGTTATATAATTAAGATTTGATAAATATAGTAATTGGTCTAATGTTATTATATTATTTATTGAAATTTAATTATAAGTATATTTAAAATGATTATTTAATTTATAATATTATAAAGTTTTTATAAATTTATTAAATAAAATTTGTATATAAAATTAAAAATTTAATTTCTTATTAATTTAATATAAGTATTTAAAACCTTTTCAATTATATATTTTAAATATAAATAAATTCTTTATCAAATTTAATAATTTTTTTAATATAATAATTATTAATTTTTTTAAATTAATTATTTAAATTTTAATTTAATTTGTCTTTAATATCTTACTTTAACTTTTATTAAAAATATTTATAATTATAATTTCAAATAATTGAACAATATTTTTTAAAAATTGTTTAAGTTATTTTGTATTTATTTTTTTTTATCTAATACTTATAATAATATTTAAAATTCTTTGAAATTTTCTTAATATATTTAACTTAATAAAAAACCTAATAAAAACTTATTTAAATTAAATATAAATATAAATACAAATATATAATATCATAAAATTATTTTATTTATAATTAATTTATAAATTATATTATTATTATTATTTTTAAATAAATAATTAAAAATCTTATATTATATATTAATTTTATAATTTAATTTTTATAAAATTCAAGTTTTTATATATGTTTATATATATATTTTGAAATATAACTTTAAAAAATTTTAAATATTATTATATATTTATTTTAATAAAAAAAACTTTTTATATATATTGTTTTTTTAAAAAAAAATTTTTTTTAAAACTTATAAATTTTATAATTTATTTAATCTAATTTTAATTTTAGTTATTGTATATTGATTTTTTTTTCAATTACTCTATATTCAAAAAATTAAAAGATTTAACAAAAATTTTAAGTTGATAAATATAATTATTACTTTTTTATCTAATATATTAATATTGTTTTCGAAATTTTTTTCAATATTAATTAATATTGTTAAAATAGACAAGCCAATTTTAACTTGTTATATAAAATATACTTAAGATATATTGTTTCTTTTATAATACAGTTAATGCTGGTTACAGTAATCAAATTGAAAAAAGCCTAATTTTACAATTTTATATTTCTATATCCAATTGTTATTATATTAAATATTATAAAATTATAATATACTATTTAAAAGAATTTTTTGTTTTATAAAATTATATTATTATATTCAATTTTTATTATAATATTACTCTAAACAATGTTACTGTAACCAGTTTTGACAGTATATACTTTGTTATATACAATTCAAATAAAAAATAATGTTTACTTATTAAAAAAAATCTTAAAAAAATACTATCTTTATAATATAATAATTTTATTTAAAATACTTTTTTTATTTTTTTGTAATAAATAATTTATAAATTTTTTTATTTTAAAATTTTTCAATAATATATCTATTTAATAAGTGATAAATTAATATTTATAACAATATAACTTATATCTTAATATTAATTATATAATAAACAGTTTTATTATTAATAAAAATTATAGTAAATACCTATGGATCAATAGTATAATAGATAGTATTTACAAATTATTAAATATATATTTTAGTTAAATATTTATGGGATACAAATACAAAAATCTATATATATGGAGTTTTATTAATATTATATATACAGTATATATAATTAATTATTATATTATATTTTTCTTTATATATTAATTTATTAAATATTTTGTATATATTATATTTAATAGTTTTTAAAATACAATCAAGATTACATGAAAATAAAACCTCTAGTTTTTTAATAATTGTAGGTTAGAAACAGATTAAAATATAAAAAATTATATAAGAAAAGGTTTCTGATTTAATTTTTATAAATGTTTACTAACTTAAACTTAATTGAAAAATAATAAACTTTATTATATATTTTAAAGAGATTAATTTTAAATTAATTTATTACAATCTAAAGATTAAAGACTTATTTTAAAAGTCTTTAAAATTAACTTAAAATCCAAATCCAAATATTAGTTTTACAGGTAATAAAAATGGTAATACAATATTGTATAAGTAATATATCTCAAGAATTAGTAATAACAATAATTAAATTATTGGAATTAATTTTTATAATAATATTTTATATGATTTTTTTTTAGTAAACAATTAAAAAATATAATTAGATCAATAAAAAAGATAGGTTTAAAATTAGAAATAGAGTTTTTATACTCTATAGCTTTCTAGTATTATAAAGAAAATTATAAAGTTATAGGTTCCTGAATATTAGATGTAAGAAGCAATGCCAAGGATAATTTGTATAATATATATAAGTCTTTTAAATATATATCTGATACCAATATATGTCAATAAAGATTAATATTTTAATATATTAACTATTTAAAAAAAAATTTTTTTTATTAATAATTTTATTATTATATATATTTTATTTTAATTTTTTTTATAAAATTAATTTTTATCTTTTTTAAATTAGATTGTTTATAGAAATATTTTTTTAAAAAATTAAATTTTTTTGTTTGGTTTTTAACTTTCTCTTTATATTTCTTATTATTTTTAAAAAAATTTTTTTTTTTTTTCACAAGTTTCTTTTTAATATAATTTTTTTTTTAAATCTAATTAAAGTCAATAAGACTTTTTGCTAAATATAGTTAGTTACAAATAATTATATTATTGTAAAATATAATTTTTTAAGTTTCTATTTATTATATGGATAAATAAAATTAGAAGGCATATCTTAATATATTGATATTTTATTTATGCTATCAAAACTTTGTTATTAATAATATAGAAGATATAGAGAGCAATAAGTTAATCAATAGATAAAAAAAAATCTTTATTTTAAATAGTTTTAATTAGATAGACAAAGGAATAAAATTTGTATAAACAAATCTGTACATACTCAAATTATTAAACCTAATAAAAATAGATATACTCCAGTCATTTTTTTAAAAAAAATAATTTTACTCAATATAAATAAAATCAAATTTTTATAATAATAATAATAATAATAATAATAAAATATAGATTTAATTTTTATTTAATTATAAATTTTTTTGTTAAAGCACAATATATTAAATAGTTCATATAGATACAATATTTACAAATTTTCATATATACGTAATAAATACATAATTCATGTTTCGTGTAACGGCATGCAATATTTAATAAGAAAATTTAAATCTAAAGAGATC